GGACCTTTCAGCAGGTAAGCATGCAGCTTCCATAGTTCTGGGTGTGGGTGAAAAATCTCCCTCTCTGCCTGAGAGAGGAGATCTTGTCGAACCGGAAGTTGCCAGGGTTGAGCTYSTAGCAAGCTGATTATCTCAGCGTACCAAGACTTCGCTGGCCAGCGGGGCGCCACTAGGATCAAAGARAGGCTCTGTCCGCGCACCCTCTCTAGTAKAYGTGGTATCATTTCCACTGGGGGAAACGCATACAGAAGTACATCAGGCCAAGGATGAGCTAGAGGGTCCACTCCCAGAGGAGCGCTCTGCTCTGTCATGGAAAAGAACAGAGGACAGTGTMTGTTTGCTTTAGAGGCAAACAGATCTACTGTCGCTTTYCCAAACAAAACCCAAATCTGGGCCACCACAGTGGGATGCAGCRTCCACTCCTTTGCTAGAGGTCCACCTCTGGAGAGGAGGTCTGGACCTYGGTTCAGTCTCCCCGGAACATGAATGGCTCTGATAGACAGAAAATGAACACTGCTCCACTGTAAAAGAGTGTGAGARAGYTTCAGCAGGGGAAGGGACCGAGTCCCCCCTTGTCTGTTTATATAAGAGACCACTGCTGTGTTGTCCGTTCTGATTAGAAGATGATGGTTCTCCAGAACTGGACAAAAATGTTTCAGTGCTAACAGGACTGCTAACAATTCTAGGCAGTTTATGTGGAGCCTGGACRGTTGTGGAGTCCAGGTTCCCCTCACCGCCGCGCCATCGCACAGGGCTCCCCAACCTTTCAGGGAGGCGTCTGTGGACACSACTTTGTGAAACGATACCCTCCCTATTGGAGAACCCTGATACAGGAGGCCGAGTTCCCTCCAGGGACTGAGAGCCGTCATGCAGTAAGCAGTTATTGTTAGCTTTTAGTGTCTGTGTCGAGACGGACACAGCCTGTGGGACTGAGACCAATGCTGAAAACGGCGCATTTTTAACGGCCTGAGTGGTACTACTGAAATCATGGAAGCCATCATTCCCAGTAACTGTAATACGGTTTTGAAGCTCAGTTTGCATCCCAGTTGAAASTGAGCTAAACAGCGGTGAAACGCGGCCACTCTGTTTTCTGACTTCTTCTTCCGAGCCGCTGAACTGTCCTGCTGACRCTGAGGGAGGCCTTTGCTCAATGCCGATTGACGGGGAGGCTGCGGCTTGCTGGAAGGTTCGGCGGGCTGGGCCTTTGAAGTCCCGGGRGTCGCCGCCTTTTTGAARGGAGGAGGATGAGAKGCAGACCTGGATGTGCTCGGGGCCTTGGGCCTCGTGTTACGTCTGGGGATGATGCAGCGAAGTGCCTCAGCCTGCTTCTTTCTCTGTTCAAATTTGTTTTGGATGACGTCAAGCGCTTGACCAAACAGTCCTGTAGGCGTTATCGGTTCATCCAAGTAGGCCGCCCTGTCCTTGTCGGGAATGTCTGAGAGCGTTAGCCACAGGTGCCTCTGCGCCACCACAGTAGAAGCCATTCCTTTCCCCAGAGCCAGCGCTGCACAGCAGGACACACGTAGAATGTGGTCTGACMCCAGTCTGATCTCATTCAGCAGGGGTAAAAGGTGGTTTTCCTGCAGTGTCTGAGCTGCCAGTTCAGCCAAGGCCATGGCCTGTAGGTCTGAAGCATGGTGACGGAGCTCAGCGCACGGGCGGTGTTACCTTGGGCTTTGTAGATTTTCTCCAGCTGTGCTGAAGAGAATCTGCAGGGCTTGGAAAGGTGCAGGGTGGGCCCGCTCACACCCTGGTTGTGAGACGGAGCCAAATAAGCGGCTAAAGATGGCTCCATTGGAGGGAAACCCCCCAGGCCTGCTTGGTCTGCACCTTCCACGCCCAAGTACTGACCCTGTCCGGGCACAAAGGCGTGGATGGACAGCGGTTTGCTCCAGGG